GAGTCGGAGCAATCTCGTCTGCAGGCAGAATCCTTTGCCAACCTTGGCTGACATACTCTCTCCCCCTTGCCAGGCTGGATCTACTCTTCCGAGATACCGTCGAACCGGATGCGAGCTTACAACGTCGCCCTGGCATCACTCACACACTGGATCCACAACCTCGCCGTGACGAAGGCGACGCCCGTGATGCTGTTCGCCACGCCGTTTGGAGCTTACTTCATTTTTGGATCCATCAACTTCCTCATGGCTGTCGTTGCGTTCTGGCTTCCTGAGACTAAGGGCGTAAGTTTACCCATGTTCTTTGTAGTTGCCGGCTCTCTTGCTTCGATATTACGACCCTGTCTTTTCCCCATGCGAAAGTCCGAATTCGATGCTAACATTTTCTCCCATTCTAGGTCTCGTTGGAGCGTATGGATGAGAAGTTCGGGGCAACCGATATGTCGAACCTGGAGGACCTGGGTGTCGCGGCCGGGCATGTGGAGAAGAAGAATACGGATCTGGAGGAGGTGGAAGCCGTTCATACATCCAAGGCGTAAATCCCAATGCTAACAGGCGCTGACGGTGCCGTCTGAATGTAACAGGTTTTGAGAACTACCCTTGGGCTTCCTTGTCGAAGCACACTCTGCTCTTACTCTTCTCGTGTATCATATGATATGGAGATATGTTATCAAAACATATCTTGATTTGAAGACTAGCACAGGGGCATGCCTTGATCTCCGGCCCTTGGCCCCTTTGGGTAGTATCTCACTGCTCTGCGAATAACCCCCTAGAGATCTTACACTAAAGATCCGAGATCGCATTCCCCTTTTGGAGATAACCCTCGAGGATCCAACCAGTGACGAAGGAACCCTTCAACGGATTGCCTATCCAGTCAGGGTTATGCATTAGGCCAGGGTTGGGCAGTGAACTACCACCAAAAACCCTGCGGCTTATTTCTAGGTGGCTCGACAGATACTGGTGGGCTTGACGGGTTCCGGTATCTTACTTTACGAGATACCTTATTCGGAATCCGTCAAGCCTGCAAGTATTTGAAGAGAACTGCTGCCCGCCATTTCATATCCTCGCGGTTCCCAGCTCCATTAACTTGTCGGCTTCCTCATATTCAACAGTGTCTCTCCTCCACCCAACAGTGTCTCTCCTCCTAACGAAGTGCCAGTCGGGAACGAGACTTCACCATGGGATCCCCACGAGCAGTCCACATGGCAATGCGAGAGAAGGAATACAACCCGAACAGCAGCATGCAGCACGCCGCCATGCTCCAAGCTCTAGACCTGCTCCCGAGCTACCCGACAACCGATCGCCTGACCGTGATCGACTACGGCTGCTCCCAAGGCGCAAACAGCATCCCGGCCCTCAAGAGAGTCCTGTCCTCCCTGCCCGAGAACGCAAGCGCAACGCTGCACTTCGAAGACACGCCCCAGAACGACTTCACCACCCTGGCACAGACGATCGACGCCAACCTGCCCGCCCTGAGCACAGCCAACGGGTCCTCGCTGACCCTCTACTCCAGCCTCCTGCCGACCAGCTTCTTCCGCCCCGTCGTGGCCCCCGGCACAGTCGACCTGGGTCTCGCTTGGTCCTGCCTCACCTACCTCTCCCACCAACCGGAACTATCCCTCGACGCCACCGCTACCCCAGCCGACTTCGCGATCACAAGGGCGAAGGCACTAGCCAGCGCCGGACACAAAGACCTAATCCAAGTCCTCGTCCTCCGCGGCGCGGAGATCAAACCGGGCGGCCACCTCGTCGCCGCCATCGGCGGGCAGCCGCCAACGCCCGACTCGGAGACGGGCGACACGGGCGTCGCCCCGGTCACGGCTGCCATGATGAAGTTCGTGGTGCGGGGGAAGGCCAACATGCAGGAATTGTCGCGGTTCGCGCTCTGGCCGGCCAGCGACCCCAGCCTGGGGGAGGTCAGGAAGGTGCTCGAGGAGCCTAGCGTGGCGGAGCTGTGGGAGGTCGAGCACCTCGAGGCGAAGCTGGTTGTGCATCCTGCTTGGGAGGGTTATCGGATTGCGCTGGATGAGGCAGGGGGAGATGGGGATAGGGTGAGGGAGGCGAGGGAGAGGTATATACGGGCGGTTGTGGGTAATTTGCTCGCTGCTTCGGGTTGGTTTTGGGTTGAGAAGTTGAAGGAGACTAGAGGACGGGACTGGGATGGTGGGGAGGCGTGGTTGAGGGAGTTGGAGGAGGAGGCGGTGATGGAAGGGGTTGAGAAGTTTGGGGAGATGAAGGTGAGGCTTTGGTATACTTATTTGAAGTTGAAGAGGAGGAGTGGTTGACTTGCCTCGAATGCCCTTTTGAAGACCTTTGGACCTGGACGATATGATGAGACGGTTAAGCGGATAGACGACTAAAAGGGTTGGCTCAAAGTCAAATGTCTTCCCAACTCTTTCTAGTTTCTATATTACCTACAACAAAACCTGGGGTCGACTTACATGTGCGACCATATGTACCCATGGGTGGGTGACCGTTGGTCACACATGTGGTAAGAGACGTCAGCCCTTCCCAGTTCGTTTTCACACTCATTACACCATCGTCTGAAATCAAGAATGAGCCGGGAATTGACCGCTTGCTATGGTGGTGTCCCTGCTGTGAAAATGCATTTCTCCAGCCTCTTGAAGGCGTGGGGGGGCCCAGCTCCTTCATAAGGTACCTTATGCGGGTTATGCGAGATCCACATGGAAGGTCTTCGCCCGAAATCATTCCGGGAAAACCGAATGTAGACTCTAAGCTCAACGGAGCTACCGGCGCGACAGTGCCATCTGTAGAATAGTCCGCATGAAGGAGGACCGAAGAAGGATGCGCTCGACACGAGGGGCTTGTTACATGTTTTTAACGTAAGTGCTTCCAAGCTGGACAGGAAATTGCAGACCGCGAACACGCAGCAGCACGACATGAAAAAGGTAGTTTAACAGCAAGCGAGAATAGTATTTTTTCAGAACAGAGCACCGGTTAGTCGCGGGCAGCAGATAATGGATAACCTCCATCCATTGCTTGCTAACCCTACTGTAAGCGTTGATCCTTCACATACTACCTTAAGGGGCACATATTCCACTAGGATCGTGGAGATGTCACCTGCCATAAATAGCTGATAAATCTCCGTGTGAACGTGTCACCGAAGGCTTTCATCGCACCGAACCGGATGATAAATCCTCCTCCGTGAATACTATTCGGGATGGACCGGCGTTGAATAGCACAACAACAAATCCCGCAACGAATCGTGCACTAGACCATGGTTGAGTCAAAAGTTTGTCATACCTTAGTCTTACTGTGATAGTTCCGAAAACAGCTTATAACTACAAACACTCAGGCTCTGGCCGAGAGTCGGAGGGGTATATATCTGGCGTCTCCAAACAACCCCACCCGTCCGCTGCCGCTGTCTTGACACCCACGCACAGTCGTACAGTCACCATAGTCACACACCCTTAGTCCGCGATCGTGAAACTTCACCATGCTGTTCCTCCTTGCCGTCCCTGCCCTGTTGGCCACCACGGTTGTGGCCGCGCCGGCTTTCCAGGTGCACGACGTCCTTGGCCCGCGCCAAGAGACATGCCCGACTACGTCTCGGTGGTCTAGCTACTCGTACACAACTACGTACCTCGCGACGACCACTGTAGTCAACACCGAATCCAGGCTGGAGAGCGTGACTGCCACCACAACCACGACACAGTCGAGGACAGACACCAGAGTTGCTACCGCCATCTCACCAGCCGTGACGTCCATCCCGGGTAAGTTAACCGCCTCTACTCGTCCCACACTTCTGTGCTCCAGTGGGCTAATACCCGTCATGCATCAGCCACCACCCTCTCTACGGCGATAGCTACAGTCACCACAACCCAGACCTGGGATCCGCTCACCAGCTACGTCCGCCTGCCCGGCTACGCGCCGTCCTCGGAGTGCGTCAAGAAGACGCTCACCAGCTACTACCCGGGAACGACGAGCGTCACGGTCACGTCCAGCTTATTGTACGCGACGTCGTGGTTTACCACGATCGGCCACGTCAGCACAGTGACCAGAAGTTCCGTCGATACCACCACGCGCACGACCACGACACCGGGTTCCACGACCTACGGCACGATCGTTACTCAGCCGTATACGGTGACACAACTCGCGGTCATTATTCCGACAGTCACGACGACGCTTTATGACCAGGGATGCGCGACGTGGCTCTGTGGTTAGGTTGGACTTGGAACGGGTAGGCTTAAAAGCCAGCAGTGGTCCGAAGTTTGGCATGAAGGGATGGTAATGTCATGATGGGTAGGTGGCGTATGAAGTCTGTTATTCCGAACAGGCTCTCACAAGCAAACTATTGAAATACACCATACAAACAGTGTCTCATATACCAAAAGATGATGCCGACCGATAACCATTAGGTTATTACACCATTTTCCAGATGAGGAATGAGCCTAAAACTGACCACTTGCTGGAGTAGTGCCTGTTTCTGTGAGATAGTAACCGCCTGGTATATTCACGGCGTAAGCCTTCAAGCCGCCCACCAGTCCTGCTAACCCGACGAGCAAACATTGCGAGGCGCGGTCATTCTCAGCCGTGTGAAGGCTGGAGACATTGTCGGGCGGAGACGTCGTTCTCGTTACCGCCACTGGTGCCCGAGAGCTCAACATCATCGGCGTCAGCAGTGAACTCATCAGAGTCGTCATATTCGTCACGGCCCACAGTTGATTGGTCGGTTGTGTCTGCCTCCTCTTGGAGTTTTGTCAAGGCAAATCCATCCAGGACTTCGTGTGACCATATGAGATGGCATATCGCCCACGGGTGTGCTGGTATGGTCCAAGACAGCAGCTGGTTGATGGAGGGCGACGCGCTGGGGAAGAGCCTGTATAAAACTTCCATCTAACCCCTTGTTTCTCGGCCCATCCCGTCCCGTCCCGGACACCTAGTTTTGCCTGAGACCGCTGTGGGGTCGTGAATCGTCCAGCAATCTATGCCCACATCACATGACTCGGTTTCGGCGCCTCACACACCATCCAGCGCACACAGCCCGCTTGGCTCAGTGGTAAAGCGTGTCACTCGTATGCAATATCTGAAATGACAAGATCATCAGTTCAATTCTGATAGTGGGCAATCCTTTTGCTGTCGGCGACGTCTGGTTTTGTCGTCGAGGAGCCGTCGAAGTGGCTTGATGATGGTGAATGTCAGGGCGGCGTTCTGTGCTTTTGGGCGTTCTGCTTCTTAAGCTTCTTACGTAAATTTGACGGATGTGTTGATACAATGAGTGCTTACCAAAGCACCGAGTCAGACAGCAACGCGGTCAAGTTTCTCTCCGGGAGCATCAACACTCCCCTGATCTTGTTCTGCCATCACTTGTTTGGCTTTACCAACCCTGCGTCCTATCAATGTCTCCTCATGGTTCAACAAGAATTTGACTTTCTACATTGAGTGATGGACATCACCCCTTTTTGCCGCAAGGCGCCCTTGTGAGGCGTTTTTCTATTTTTTTTGCGCGCCACTGTGAGCGACGCAAGCGACACTGGCCACTGACCTGTGGTAGCATCAGGCAAGCGAGCGCGTTATATCATAACCATTATCCATCAGACAATCAGGCGTCGAGACCACGGCCAATGCATTCGTTGTCACACAAGTATTTACGATGATGCAGCGTCGAGATGGCTCGTTCAAGCGTTTCCCTTTCGTTGAACTTTCAGACGGAAACTACCTGCGACGCGTCGAAGTTGACGCAACCCATCTCCTAATGCTCAGACACGTGTACTGGAAGGTTTCAATGGCGACGGCCTCCCTGATTATGCCATATTATCCCATGCCTGGGGCCAGCCAGACGAGGAAATATTGTTCCATGATATGCGTTTGACACCAAAATAGGGTCCCACGCCAATAGCTGACTCGCCCGATGCTGTAGGATGGGATAAGCCCGAAGCTGCCTGCCACCAGGCTCTCCAGAGTCGGCAGGATAGCCTCCGCTGCATATCGATCGACACTTTCTACACCGGTCAGCTATAAGCAGCGAGAACAGGTTGGTTGCTATGGTGAGCCTGGCGGGTGGACTTTATGCCACCCTTTAAGGTGTGTCGTATGGCAATGAGGAACGGGCGGCCGACGATACTGATGCCTGGAGTGCGGTAGAGACTCTAACCCAAGACCGATGATGTGGAATGAAACGCTTTATTTCTATTGTAGATTGTCTATGAGATGGGATCCGCCTGTACGTCTCAAGGAGACATGGCCAACATTACGTCTCTATCTCCCCGTATGCAGCAAGTTCTGGATCCTCGAGCTTCTCCCTTGTCTGGCATCTCTGGGCTTTTGTTGCGCCTTATCTTTTCACCCTTTCGACGAGCATAGCCGGGTCCAGCAATTGACCGGATCTCTAACCTACGGCTCACCAGTGTATTTGGCGACCTAGCGTACTCTCACCGCACCACAACCATCACCTCCCCGCCAGACCTCCTATCATGAAACGTCATAATGAGACTTCCACCGCCTGCCCCTCTAACCTGCTCCAATCCCAGTTAGCAGTTCCCCCACAGCCGAAACCGAGACGCACGGGAGGCAGCACCGAGTGTTGCCCCTCCACTCCGACAGCGAGAGACAGCGTAAGCTTAGGCTTGTGAGGCCGCTGCGGCTGCGGCTTGGACACCGGCTGAGACGGAGTTGATGCTTCGGGGACCACAATGGCAGACTCTACCTCTACCTTATTGGTCTCCTCACTGCTAATAGACGTAATAGATGTCGGTCCAGGAGTGGGACCCGTGGGAACCGGGACCGGGGAACTTGGTTTGGGTGTTGTGGGAGAGGGTGCGGGAGTGGGAGCCGGACTGGCTGGGGCAGTTGGGGGCTTACTAGAAGGAGATGTAGGGGAGGGTGTGGGTGCTGAAATTGGCTGCGCCGGTTGGGGAGGCCCATCCTCCGGGGCCACGGCACCGCCGTTGTACCGACGAGGAGGGGTGCGGGGAGGAGTAGGTGGAGGTTTCGGCGTGCGTGGCGGAGTGGGAGGCAGTGACCCGTCTACGGCTGCAGCATCAGCCAAAGCAATGGACGATGCCGATGCCGGTGCGGGCTGGGGAGGGGGAGTAGGTGCTGGAGTGGGAGGCGGCGTGTAGATATCCTCTGGTGCCGGTGTGGCATCGGGGGCCTTGCCGTCGTTGGAGCCGGTGGAAGGTGGAGGGGGAGCAGCCTTGGGCGGTGTGTATGTGTCGATCTGCTGCGGCAGAGGGTCGATGGCGTCGGTAGAAGCGCTGTCATGAACCGTGGCCTGGTTGCTATCACCATGGTCACTACCGGAAGAGCTGCTACTGGAAGAGTGGTCGTTAGCCGCGGCGTAGTCGGCAGAGTTGAGCGGGAAAGGGGGAAGGGCGGGTGGAAGAGGCTGCGGGTCGCTCGGCGTCCCAGAACTTCCCTGGGGATGGCCTGGAGAGGCAGGTGTGTTGCCGGCGGCATCGCTATCAGCACCGTTGGAGTTGGCCGCGCTGTCAGCCGGGCTAAGCGGCATGGGAGGAGCGGCGGGCTGGAGAGGCTGTGGGTTGTTCGGATCAGGTGATCCACGGCGATTTCCCGGAGAGGGAGGTTGAGGGTTGGGTGCCGGAATGTTAGCCGGGGAAGAGTTGGCCGGCGGTCCCTTGGGTTGGACCGCCGGGTGAGCCGACTGGTAGTACATGGCTGGTTTCGGGCACTGCTGCTGCTTGGTTAACGTGGAGGCCTCATCAATCCCAGGGGAAGCGACACACGACCTAAAAGGAGCGACGAACCTGCACCGGGACCATTGCCACGGGGACGAACAGTAGTGGTGGCGGCGGTGGAGTGACGAGTGTCGCAGGCGTGTAGACCAGTTGCGGAACAAGGATGCCCGGCGTTGTTAGTACCGGCTGAGTTACAAGGAGAGGCCCGGGTTGAATCGTGGTAATAGGCGTGTAAGCTGGGGCCAGGCAGTTATGAGCTCCTGGATAAGATACGCCGCAGCGACTGCAATTAAACGGAGACATCGGTATCTAAGTGTCTTGATGCGATAATTTGTTCTACGTGTTTGATACAAGTGCGCTCGTCTTGGTATTGGTTGTGCTGCTATTGCTGATGTGGTTGCTTGAGGATGGGGTGGTAGAATGCGGCCAGCCTAGGGAGGTATTTGTAGTCCAGCAGATCACGGTGAAAGTGAAATGTCGACATGCCCAAGGACGTGACTCAAACTGATTGCACGTATTCTACGTGAAGCTATCTCTCGTCCAATATGCCAAATGGACCGATACATCACTGTTCAGAAACTCGTACGACACTGAACTGGAGAAGTTGAATCACTTGAGTGCAACCTAAATAGAACGGACAGGTTATGGTTCAGGACAACTTCCGAACCGAACCATTTTCAGGTCAAGAAAAGTAAGTATCATTGGATAGCTACATGGCTCAGTAGTCCTCCTTGAGGGTACACAGAACGATGAGCGGCCGGAGAGAGAAATCAGTGTGAAGCGGTGGGTTCATCCCACAGACTTGCGAGCAGCTTCCGGGGGCCCGTCCACGGTTCACGAGCATGCTGGACGGCATGATTCTGCAGAGGGAGCGTTTAGACTGTGTTCGCGGCAGTCAAATAGGACATCGAGCACTTACATCGAGCAGAATGACATCTCCCGCCTTCCAAGCAACCAGTGATCGGGTTGCATGAATGATCTCGACCGCCGTCTCAAAATATTCGCTTGGTATCAAGGACCCATCACCGTACTGAGGTAATGAAAGATAGCCACATGTTAGTATTCGTGACCTGAGCAAGGAGGTAAGGTAGAGCAGCACAACTCAACGCACTTCAAGGGCGTGACGTACAAAGGCGGGCGGCTGATATTTCCCTTCCTCCGTCTTGTGAGGTGGCTGGAGTGTGCCGTTGTTCTTTGCATTGAGATAGCGAGATACGATGTTGTTGAAGAATGCCTTATGGCCTGTTCGCGGGTGGTCTCGCACAGCTGTCCATAGGTCAGACGCATCTTCAAGATGTAGCCCCCTGAGGCAGTTAACTTACCAGGCAGATGTTGCCAAACGCGGAGATCCCCCAGCGGGTTTTCCTCGGACTGGTTCTCCCAGATCCATTCTGCGGTAGGCAGACGTCGGATTTCCTTCTCGATCTTTGCTCTTGCGGTCTCGGTATCGTCAGAGTCTAGGACATGTTGGCCGTATGCTTGGAGCACAGTCGTACCGGCGGAGGCGACCTGGTCTCTTGGTCCGTTGGGGTGGAATAGCTGGTACTTCACCCCCTTCTTTTCTAGGTCCTTAATGAATTCGGGGTGCCTCTCTGTTAGCTGCTTGTAGAGAACGATCGAGTTGTTGATTGGGGTCTCGCCTCCTGTAAGTAATTGGTCAGTAATGCACGGCATACAGTTACTATAAAGTGCGACAACTGACCAGTCTCAGGTTCCGAAACACAATAGAACAGCACATAAGCCGGGTAATGGGGGCTCAGGCCGAACTCATTGTGAGGATAGACCGGTTGGGTGTTTGGGCCTTCGTTCGCCGTCGCCACGTTCTTAGCATGGATTGTCCGGCGGACAGGGTTGCCGATATCCTCATGCGACAGCCAGCCGAAGGCATGAGCGAATTTGGAGAACTGGTGTGCGTCTTTGAGACCAAGGTTCTGGAAGTAAATGGCTCCATGCCTCGCCAGGATCTTGCTCAGTTGGCCAGTCTCTGCCAGATCTCGGGCTGCGGCGACCTTCTCTTCGGTGGAAGCATCTGGATCCGTCGGTGTTAACGACAATGGGAATGTTGTCTTCGGTGGGTAGGGAGCCGGGAGGTCGACAGAGGGCCCATATGAGGCTGGGACGAAAGTGACGGCGGACATGGCGGTGCGTTCTTGTCAGGTGTAGGGTTGGTGCACGGATAAGATTGACGAGATGATGGGAGATGCGAGAACCCGGGACTATGGATGATGATTAAAACGATAGATACGCGAGAGCCGCATGGTCGGTACCGGTATATACCTGCAAGCCTCCTGTGCCGATCGGCGCAACCCTCCTCATCTAGAAATGCAATCGGCAGCAACTTTCCCGAATCATACCCCGGCCAGCCCTGTCGGCCTCCCAAAGTGTAGCACACCATATGCAGAGGGGGATGCTGTTTGGTAAGAGCGTAGA